GAGTATCTTTTTTAAGATAGAAAGAATACAAAAAGTGTCAAAAAAAGAAAACATAATACTCATTCTGCCCACAAGAATCATACGTTTTATTAATTGCAGAGATTGTTAAATTTGGAGAGCGTTACGTTTGAATGGGAATGACATTTTTTATTCATTGAGTTGAATGCTTGAAATTGTTGGGTTCACGTGAAATTATTTGGAACTTTTATTCTTCATCATCAAATTATCTGCCTATAAATGACTGGTTTTTTCCTCACAATCGAAGCACCATCTTCACAATCACTAAAAGGAACTGATTCTGAAAACGAACAGAGTGGTGATTATTTATAAATAACTGATGCGACAAATACTAAATAGACAATGCCATAAGTGAATCCCACATCGGGGAACGATTCGTGATTTTAATCCAATATAAGATTCAGTTTCGGACCAGTGTTTGCCGAGCTCAGTCACGTGGGCTTATCATCCAAGTGGAGGCAATAAAGTGATTGGACTTGCCCATTAATTGGTCTGTTCACATCCCATCTATCTTAGCAAGGGCTTATTATTGCCTCCTCCATAGATAATGGCTATGGAAGGCCTAACAATGCTTGAGCACAGCTTGTGCTTCGGATTGTTCAGCCCATTACTGAAGCCTACGATAGCACTAATCCCTCACTCCAGGTGAGTGAACCGGGGAGATAGATCGCGGAGTGTTCCAGCCCAATAAGGACTATCACTTTTTGCACACAAATTAATATTTTATCTTTTTTTTTTTCTTTTACAATTAGCTAAAATAAAAATCTCACAATTTAATTGGTCGCAGTCACATAACATCAGCGGTTCATCATGGGAATAAACGGGATTATTTCCCTCTTTTTTATTGAAATTTTGTTTCTTTAATAAATTATAGCTTATTGAGAGGATAAATTTTTTTTCGTTATAATTCCTCTGATGGATTGGTCGCAACTCTTTGTTATACGTTGATAAAGGGACAGAAGTATTTTTTTCGAGTGAAAAATGAAAGTGTGGGCCTCTGGGGTGTGACTAGAGATTTACTAGAGCCTGACTGGAAGGTGCAACTTATACATGAGTTCCGTGGAGCTAGTTTCTTGGATGATTATCTCGCTTCTTTAGCAACCTAGGACGTGGAGGGTTGCATTTGGCTCGACACTCCGATATCGAAGGTCAGATCGTGACTGGAAATGATGTTTCTAGGGTATAATACATCATTGAAATTTAATAATTTAATTCATTTTAGATTTCAACCTCCTTTATTGTACCAAAAAAAAAAATCATAAAAATATAATTTAGTGATTTTTTCTTTTCATTTGTCTTATCTTCAATTACATTTTTTCTATATACAGTAATGCTCTCAAAAGTTTGAATCACTAGAGCACAGAGAGCTGGTGGTTATAATAGTATCTTTCATTCTTTTGCCACCTCAACCATGTAGAACGTAAAACTAGAACTTTGTGAAAAATAAACTAGACAAAAAAGTAAGAATTCGAGAAAATTATAAATATTTTATTATAATATTAATAGATTCTCTCCTCAATAAACAAGAGCAGATGACAAAATTATTATAGATAACAGAAAATATATATATATATATATATATATATATATATCATCTAACCATAAAGCTGGTATAAACTTCATTAACTTTCATCGCCTTGGCAGATCTTCCCCATGTTGGGAGTAAGCTTTGGAAGAACCCACCGCACAGCAATCGCTATGGCAATTGATTTCAACAGCTTCAGGGCTAGTGTCCAGAACATCATAATTAGTTTGCGATTGAGTTTGAAAGTACTATTTAGTAATATTTGTTGGTTGTTTCTAAATGAGGGGTACTTCGACTGTGAGCAATAAACCGAGTTTTTATAGGGGCAATTTGATGCAAAATGGATTAAAATGCAATTAGTTTTCACGTTAAACGAAGAGTTTAAATTGGGTGTGTATGTGCATTTCCGAGGGATTTTTTTTTTTTTTGGGGGAGGGGGTCTTGCGTGCACAAAAGAAATTTTGAACGTCACTCGATTTGAAATGTATCTGTTCCAAATTAAATAAATAAATAATCAAACAATTAATTATGGAAGTTTGAAGTTGAACAGCCTTTACAATCTGTTGCTGATAATTTTCAAAACTATTGACAAATAAAAAAAATTCATTTTTTTTAGACATACAGACATATGTTTCGGAGAGTTATTGCTCAAAAGTTGGGACTAAATCTTAGTTGTTCGACTAATTTATTGAGTTTTACATGAAGGTAGAAACTAAGATATCAAGCTCCACTTAATTTTAAATGAAAAGAAGCTACTGTTATGATGATACATAAAAACAGAAGGAAAAAAAAACACCAATACGTATTTTTTATCTACAATTTCATGTATTCCATTTTTGCTGAATTGCACTTCATGTGGAATTAATGAGTCCGTATCCAGTATACCCGGAAGCATTTACTCCCCCTCCTATTTTTTGCACTATTAGTCATTATTGTACTTTTTTCTCAATCTTTCGATAATTTGTAAGTTTAGTCCCTGTCTTTTTTTCTCTCTCCTCTAAAACAACATCTCTAATTGTCAAACGAGAATCTCTCCCAATCCATGAAGAATTTGTGAACGAATGATATATGAAATTTATAGTACTCATCGAGATCTATCCAACAAGATACATATTAAATATATTTTCGGGGTTAAAAATAATTAAATTCTGATATGAAAAATGAGGTAGATATCTAATTTAAGAAAATAGTAACCAACTTATTTTACATTTATATTGTTGTGTTCCCTATATCTCTTGATCCGTGAATAATTAGAAAATGAATTATACATGAAATTTATAATTTTCAACGAGATCTATCTGATAAGATCAATATCGAATATTAATTCAAAAAATAAAAAAATTAAAATACTCCGGGCAGAAACGAAGAAACTATTTGTGTTAGATGACCAGTACAAAGACGTCGGACAACTATTTTTTCAAAAAAAAAAATGATTGGATAACCATTACAAACCACTTGGATAACCATTGAAAATAATTGGATAAACAGTACAAACTGGTTGGATAATCAAAAAAATTAGATAATCATTTTCATAAAAGAGCAAGGAAAAAAAGGTTGGATAACTATTACCAAAAACGTTGGATAATCACTATAAACACATTGGACATATATCTTATAAAAAGGAAAAAAAAGAAATTATGTCTGGATAATCAGTGAAAACGATTGGATAACCAGTACAAAACGGAAGAATAGTTAGTACAAAAAATTGGACAAGGATTTTCGTAAAAAGTAGAGAAAAAAATGGTTGGATAATCTATACCAAGCAGTTGCATAATCAATTTGAACGCGTTGGACAACCATTTTTTTCAAAAAAAATAATAAAAAGAAAAACTAGGTTGGATAAGCAGTACTAATTTATTGTGTAATCAGAATTAACACATTGGAGAATGATTTTCTAAAAAAAAAGATTAATAACCAGTACAAACGAAATGGATAATCAGTTCAAACCGGTCGGATAATCAGTATGAACACAATGAATAACCATTTTAAGAAAAAAAACTAGGTTGGATAAAAAGTACCAATTAGTTGAATAACAAGTACAAACATATCGGACAAGTATTTTCATAAAAATAAAAAAAAAAAGCTGGAGAAACAATAGCACGAGGTTGGATAATCATTGCGAGCACATTAGACAAGCATTTTCTCAAAAGAGAAAAAAAAAGATTGGACAAGCAATACAAATTTATTTGGACTAGTAAAAATAATTGGATAACCAATACAAAGCGATTGGATAATCATTACGAACACATTGGATTACCGTGTTTCAAAAAAAAATTATTTGATTAGCGGTATAAATAAAATAGATAATCAGTATTAGCGTATTGGACAATGATTTTTTCCAAACAAAAAAAATGATTGGATAACCAGTATAAATAATTTGGATATGTATATAAATCCGTTGGATAATCACTACACATGATTTGGATAGGCATACAAACCAAATGGATATATATCATGTACAAACAAGTTGGATATGTATAGAAACCCGTTGGATGACAACTACAAAAAAAGTTGAATAGTCATACAAACCAAATGGATAAGCAGTACAAACAAAATGGATAACTAGTTCAAACTGGTTGGATAATCAGCATAAAATAACGGATAACTAATTTAAAATAAGTTGGTTATCCATCTTCTTAAACTGGATATCCACCTTATATTTGCCTATAAAAATTTGATCATTTATAAACTTGAAAAAAATATTCGATATGGATTTTGTTGGATAAATCTCGACGAGTATTATAATTTTCATGTATAACAAGTTCTCTAATTATTCACCGATCATAAAGATTAGATATGTTTTTTGGAGGAGAGAGAAAAAAAGTAATAATGACTAAATTTGTAAAATATAAAAAAATTGAGAAAAAAGTAGAATAAGGACTATAAATGCAGAAAATAGGAGGGGGAGCATGGTACTTTCGAGTGCACCCAATAAATTGCCGACTAAAGTTTTGGGGAAAAAATATTAGAAAGAATCCACCGTATTATTTTATTTTTTATTAAAAAAATTCACCCCAGTGAACCTCACTTAAATATGGGTAAAACTCCTCTTCTAACTCCTGATGGGAATCAAACCCGGTCTATTACTAGGAATAACATCAATCTAACTGTATTATTTTACTTGTATACATGATTATAATTACAATTTCCTTAACCTTCATTTTTGTATCTCCTTCAAATCGTGCTCTATGTGTTCATTTCTTAAAAATCCTATTTTCCAGACTAGAGTGTTTTTCAGTTTGTTGATATCGATATCGAATTAAGTTTACGCTAACTTACACTTTTTCACAACCTTTTTTGCCTTGTCTTGCCAGTGGCCACACCAACACCATGTGGCAAAAACATAAGAAAACCATCTCTTCACGTCGACAAATCCTCAAGAAAATTATGCATTAATTCATCAGCCAAAATGATTAAGAGTTTCACCAAGAACTAATTTATTATCTCTACACGAAACTAAAATCTAGGATGCCCACCTGGGTTCCTTTAGATTAATACTTACTACACAGCTAACCACCCATGTCTCATGATCAACTATAAGTGAGGGATTATTCCTTTTAGTTGGTTTTTTTTTTTTTTTCAGTTGAAAAATTATTAAGAAATCATGGCTATCAAAAATCCCATTTGCTTTCTTCTCTATGTTTTGATACCATCATTTGCTGCATTCTGCTTAGCAAACAATAATGATTGCCCTTCCATTTCCTCCAAAGCAACTTATTATAAAACCCCTGATGGTCAAGGCACTCCAAGTATGATTGTGTAACTGAAGATCAATATAAAACTAGTTGTCCCAATTCTCTTTCTTGGTGACTGATTTCTTTATTGAAAATTGCAGATGGAGCTTGTGGGCTGAAAGAATGGGGTAAAAGTATCAACGACGGTAAAGTTGCCGCCGTCAGCTCTAAGCTGTTCAAATGTGGTAAAGGTTGCGGTACATGCTTTGAGGTAAATGGTCTTTCTCTTTCTTTCTTTTTTTTTCCTTTTGATTTCTAGTATATCCTTATGATTTGTAAATTAATGAAATTTCGGTGTCCAGGTTAAATGCAAAGATAAGAAATGGTGTAGTGAGAAAGGCACAAAATTAGTGGTGACAGATTATGGTGAAGGACCTGAAACAGATTTCATCATGAGCCCTAAAGCCTTTGCAGAAATGGCCAAAGATAAAGAGTCTGAGAATTATTTGTTTAAAAAAAGCGTGGTTGAAGTTAAATATGAGAGAGTTAAATGTCATTATTACAATGAAGGATCCGATTTTGTTGTGAAATATGACAAGAAGAACAGCAGCTGGCCTGATTACATTTCCTTGATAATTCTCTACAAGGGTGATGAGGAATATGTGGAAGATGTTAAAATCTTTGTCAAGGTACCTACAAATCAATATGGCTCTTGAAATTATGGTCACTCTTAATTATGATATACTCCTTATGTCTCAGAAAAATAGTACACATTAAAATTTAAAATTTGTATTAAACAGATCTCAAAACTCGATGTGCACTATTTTTTTTTTTGTTTGGGACAGAAAGAATATTATTATTATTATTATTATTATTATTATTATTATTATAATTTATTTATTTATTTTTGTTTTGGGTTTAATATTGTGAAGGATGAGAAGGATAAGAAGGTGGAGCTGGTGCCAATGAGAAGAGCATATGGAGCAGTTTGGGACATTGCTAATCATAATATAATTCCAATGGTGGAGATCAAGACCGGTAAAGGAGTTTGTTTTGAGTGGATTGAAGGCGTGGAACCTAAAACAGTTGAGTGTGATATAAGGTCCGGTCATCTGAAGCAGCCAGTGAACATTTCAGAACGGAGTAGTGCATCTCACTCTATGTGAACATATTCAAAGTACTTACGTGGGAGTTTGGTGTGTTATACAAACATATATTTGATGTAGTGTTAATAAAATCAAGGTCGTTGTTTCTGATTATATAATTGACGTGAAATATACGTGAGTTAATTTATTGAGTATTAGTTTGCCTTAACAGGTTACTAAAATGTTTTGCATCTAACCTGAACCTCGGGGGAGGGAAATAAAATACTTTGCATCTGTCTTTTTACTGATGAATAAAGTTGATGTCTGAGAGTTAAAAAAAAAACAAGGAAAGAAGAACAGAAAAGAATTAAGTTCATTCTGTTAAGATAAGTACGATAAATACGACTTCATTTTAGAACGGCAAAAGGAGAAAAATCAAGGTCGAAAAACAGTCAAACACGTACTAAGGGGAATGATCTAACATGACAGTAAAAGTTAAGTGCTTGTTTGGACGTCAACTTACATTTCATTTTACCACTTAAAAGTGGAAACTGTTTCAAATTGAAAACTAAATGAGAAATAAAAATATTGTTGGGATGTTGGTTTTGGAAAAAAGTATTTTGAACTATATTTTGAAATATCAAGTACAAGTCATCACTAAATAATTAAATACTGTCAATTATAGTCATTGCAAAAAAGAACTTTTCCAAAAACGATTATTCCACAACGGAATCCTGCCAAATTTGTCACTGAACTATTTGTAGTTCTAAAATGGTCATTACACTAAAGAAAAGTATTTTAAGCTGGAATTTAAAATGTAAATCAGAAATTTATTTAAATGATGTTTTCTTTTCTATTGGGTTTTGTGTTTAAGAGGTAAAATGAATAAAAATATAAAATGGAAAGTTGTCCAAACAACATTTTTCTTCATAGCATTTGCCAAAGTTCTAACACCTCAAAAGTTCACCGGGAAATTCCATTAATTGACTCTCTGAGATTGTTTAGGAGGATCTCTTTGGGAGTGAGAAGGATGAGAAAATAGAAGAGATGATAGTAAAAAAGGATCCCACAAGACACAGAGCGGATGCTGCCGTAGCCTTCATCATGAACGTACTGTGTGAGTCAACCTCCGAATTTTCCACCGTTAGAACTAAACTCGCAGCTGCCCCAGTTGCGAGTATATACGATATCACCTGTTTTTGCCACAATACTATTGTCAAACCTTTTTATTTATTTTTTGGTCTAAAAGAAAAAATAGGGAAAAAAAAGGACATCATCATATATAGTACTACTTCCATCCCAGAAAAATAGTTCATATTAATTTTTGAAATTTGTACTAGTTTTAATATAAATTTAAAAACTTAATTGGACTATTTTTGTGAGACGGAAATAGTAATATATGTACCTTGTCAGCGTAGAAATCAAAGAGAAGCGTGCTTTCACCTCCGATCCGATTTCCGGAGCTCACCAGGACAACGTTTGAAATAACTTGTAGAAGAGTGTATACAAGCCCAATTACCGTAGCAGCCATAAGATACCTGCAAAAAGTTATTAAAAAACTTAAAATCCTTTAGGAAAATAACAACTAGTATATATATAATTTCAAGAATCAAATAACAGTTTCATATAGTCCTGCATGCCTGAATAAGAATAAATAATAAACCGGATCTCATTAATTAACTAAAAAAAGCTACAAAAAAGAGAGTTTTGTTCTACTAGTTAACCTTATTATTTTTTTCATATTTGCAGGGTGTTCACCGTCGGTAAAGTGACTAATCCTCCCGCTGAATTGTAGGCACCTCAATGGGTAAAACAGTTGAAGTATATCTACATTTCCACATGCAAACTTTTACGTATATGATTATATGTTTTTTTTATAGATTATTAACATTGATGATAAATTAAATAACTTGCAAAAGTAAAGGTTATAGTATAATGTACAAAGATCAATGATATGTAGTACAATATCTATGTACGGAGACACTGTCAAATTATACTCTCCCGTCTTAAAATTATTGTCCAATTTGATATTTCACTTTTAATACAATTTAAATTAAAAATAAAAATTTATATTGGACAATAATTTCAGGATGGATGAAGTATATGTCGAACGCGAAAACCTATAACTGTAGATATACCGATACCGATTACTTCAGGAAAAAAAAAAAGGAAAGAAAAAGAAATTACATACCGATAAGTGTAGATATTGATGGCCTTGGTTTTGACAATTAAGTCATATCCATAGTAGTAGTCAGAGTATCGGCGAGTGTAAGTATCGGTAGCGAGAAGGATTAATGATACGAATAAAGAAACCAACGTCAGTAACCTGACTACCAAACTTAGTGGCGGGGAAACTCCTGTGGATATTGCTGGTGGAGCCATTTTTTCGAATTTTGATGGACTTAAAATTCTTAACTAGCTAGCTATCTAGCCCGTATATTTAGTACTTTTGTTTCGTGAATCTTAATGTGGGATCTTTTCCGGTATATATATGGTTATCTTTGAATCCCAATGACAAAAAATTAACTTGACATTAATTAAGATTATAAGTCGTCGTCGCCTAAAGAAAACATGCCAAGCACTCATTAAGCGGTTTCTAAGTAAATGGATTAATTCTCTTCCGTTGGCACGTAGAAACGACGCGTAAAGTCCAGTTATCATATTCATTTTCAACTAATCATTAGTTGGTTTCGTGCTGCTAATTGAGCTTTCGTTTTGGCCAATTCTGCTGTAATGGATCCACGTCGTTTCATTATTTTGCATCTACAGGCTAAAGCAGCTTGATCAGGAAACATGGCTGAACTCTTTAGGGTTCGGGGCATACCGAACCCCCGTCGGCCAGAGAATCCCTTAGGAATAATTACGATTAACCTTATGTTATATATATTCGATCATCTATCTTGATTATGACTATATAGTTAGCCTCTCCAAGTCCAAGTAGCTGGTTCCGCCCCTGTCAGGAATTGCTTAATTAGTGCCCTATATATAATATCACCATTTTTTTTTCTCAAATATGAAAACAAAATTAATGTACATATTAAAATGAAACGGAAAAGAGCTATCTAAATGACTAATACTTGTAAACTGAGATTTCTATGTGCTACTTGCAGAACAAAATACATTTGCTAAAACGTACGTATAAGGATCATGATCAAATTGTGAGATTTGGTTTGAAATGAAAGTAGAATATGTTTATTAGTTTTAGGTCACCTCATTGTTGATACACAATATATAGTTTACGTTTACGTTTTGGGTACTACTAGAATAAGGGTATGATATGACACTCAAGAATGTCACCACAACCTAGTTTACAAGACATTATAGCTTATAATGACATTCTTTGTAAATGTCTTTAATTTCAATGTAATAATAGGTATAGCGTAGTTAGAGACAATCTATTAGTACATTTTTATGTGCCATATAAAAGAATGTATAAAGGAACTTTTAGTGTATTAACAAATTATGTATTGATACACTCACAAATGTCCTTAATGTTTTCTCTCTTTGAATAATTTCATTTTATTTTTATTAATAAATGGGAAATAATCAATGAATCTTCATTAACAAAATATAGACATTGAAAAGATAAATTATAAGATACAAATAATCCAATAAAATAGTGTATATAAGAGCGTAACACATATGTAACTATGAACTACAATTCATTCTATGCTCTTAATTACAATTCACCGGAAAAAAAAAAAAAGAAAATCTAGAAAGAAGTCAATAAACTATTAATCACTTGGTTAATAACATACGATACCTTGAAAACCACCAGATGAGTTTCCATCTTCAAATATGAACTCGGAAGAATGATGATCTTGATAAAAAGAACCAGATGCAATAACAATTGACAGTATCGCACCATGATAACATTTAAATAAAAAAGAAAGAAAAAAAGTAGAAAGAATAAACCTTCCATGATAACATTCACATAAAATGGCCACGAACTCTAACAATCCACATAATGATTCTTGATGAACAGGAAAAAAATGTTAATACAACATGATAAGAATTAATCCCAAAACAAGATTGAGCCAAATATAATAATCAACCGTGGAAGTATCAAGTCGACTAACGACAAATTATCTGGTACACCCGGAAGCACCGTGTACCCTTCTGTGCGTGTACTTTACTCTCTTAGAATAGCGTGAGTTCGCTAGATAATCCATCCTTCTTTTTCTTTTTTTTTTTTCTAAACACGGCATATATAAATTAACGAATTCATTCAAATTGGATATTGGATAACCAGTGTGCACATTATGGATAACCAGCTACACACTATGGACAAGCAGTGTTCACTATGTGGATAACCAGTGTTGGCACTATGGATAACCAGTTACACACAGATGGATAACCATTATTAACCTGTTGGATAACCAGTATGGACATAGTGGATAACCAGTGTGCACATTGTGGATAACCAGTTACACACAGCTGGATAACCAGTTGCCAAATTTCATTTTTTTCTTTTTATATTGTTCTTGGATATCCTTGTCCGTATTTTTTATACTGATTATCCAGTTTCCCCTTATTCATTTTTTGTTCTCCATCATTTGGCAAACTTCCCCTCATTCAATTAAATACTATTTATGAAATTTGCCATGTTCGGCATGAGGGCGGCACAGCCGCGGGTACCGGCACAGCCGGGTCGTTTAGTTTATCACGGGGGGGTTTATACAAGTAATTTGTGTCCCCTCTTAACGCAATAACACATCCTCCTTACACACACACTCTCCTTACACACACACGAAAAAAAGATTACCTTAGCTACATTGGCATGTTCGGCGGGGCGGCGCAGCCGGGACAGGTTGGTGACCTGGGATTCCGGTAGCCGCGGGAGTCGTTTAGTTTATCATGGATAGCCATTTTCTTATGGATATTTTCTTTTGTTATGTCTTTTTGAAAGCCCTCTCTAAATCCTTCTTTTATTATGTTCACATGGTGGATAGGCATTGGTTACATATGGATAAGCAGTATTGAGGTTTTGGATAATAAGTATAAACTCATGGATAATCAGGTTAAAGACTGTACTTGCATTTTTTTAACTGGGTAATCACTATAAAACATTTGGATAATCAGGTGTAACAAGTTGGATAACTAGTACAAAGATCCTGGATAACCATTACAAACGGTTGGATATTGCTGCACATTGGCTAAATAACCAGTACAAAAATCCTGGATAATCAATACAAAGC